TAATTTAATAATTTAAATTGTTAAGTGAAATATTATGATATAATTTTATTCTTAAAAAAATAAAAAAAGAATAGTGCAAAATACCACCACACCACACGTATAGAGCAGAGCTGAGGCCTAACTCCTCATTGTAAAGGATGACAATGGTGGTGGCACCATTATTGAGAAACTGGGATTCCCACCCCTCCATGATTAAGCCATGGCATAATTCTTCAGATCTTCTCTACACCTGTCAGACATCTCAAAATGGGATGGTTTTAAATGAAGGAGAGACATAACATGTTGAAAACGAATATTAATAACGACCATATCTAGACATTATTCTGTGATTATATTCACCATGGACCACCACCCAGTTAATCATGTGGATGTCTATTAACTCTTCTTCCCTTCTCTTTCTTTTTCACAAAAAAAAAAAGAAAAAAAGAAAAAAAAAGGTGGAATATAGACTAGTCCAGATCATTCCTGACAGAATAATATTTATAAATATTTGGATGGATTCGACAAGGTTACCATCCTGTCTACTTTCGAGATAGGAGATTGAGTATCATTAGCACTAAGCCTTTGTTAGCTGGACGTCTGTCAAGTGTCACCACGCCATCGCCAATATCATCCGCTTTAAGGAATAAAGCGAGAGCATTTTTAAGTGACCGTACGGAAAAAATAGGAACCCATTAACGTCCCTTTCTCTCAATTCTAAGCATTATAATATTCTAATTTTCCATATGAATTTCCTTGTTTTTATGATACCACAGCCGACATGGCCGGGTAGCATGTGTGTTTGAAATTATTATAAATATTATTTTTTTAAATATTTTTTATTTAGAAATAAATTTTTGTAAATCAAGAATACATTTTACTAAATCAAGGTTTGAAATACAATTATACACCATGTCCAATGTAAAAAATAAAAGCTATTTAATTAATAAAATAACTTTTTTTCATGGCCAAACAAAAAATCTAAGCTAACAAGCAATCTCTGAATTTTTATCAAGTAATTTTAAAAATATATTATTTATGTATATTAAGAAGATTTTAATTGTTTTAAATAATATTTTCAAATTTAAGCTAGTATAAGCTAGTACAAGCTTTTGCATTTCTCCATGGAATGACATTACCATCTGTGAAGATAAAGTAACTACAAGCATATCACATATCACCTGCTACTCTAGCCTATGCAGCTTTAGTACATGCGTTCGTGTTTAGATATATTGATCTTGAATCATGTTATAAAATTATTAACAGTATTAAAGACTTGCTTTAAAAATATTTTTTATTTTAAAATATATTAAATGATATTTTTTTATTATTTTAAAAAATAATTTTTACAGTCGACTTATTAAAATGATCACAAATATAAAAAAAACTAAATTTTAACAAGAAATATTAATTGGTCTATATTTCTAAATACTCTCTGAATATATAAACCAAACCTTTTGCACGTGCAGGGTATATTAATTTTTCTACAGATCTTGATTATCTTTCTTCATCACTTGGTATATGATTGAAATCAATATATAGCCTCAAAACTTACTAGTGTATCAACTAGTTTATTATAAAAGATCTCAAGCATATCTTTTTGGGAACAAAAAAAATTCCTTTTCGAGATCGAAAAACTTTAATTATAGTAAAATACTTTAAAGTGCCTAGATTTTTCATTTCAACTTTTTTTTGCCAGGTATTTTTCATGAACTGCTATTTTGTCTACATATACAATAAATACAATAATTTTACTAGAATATTTTTTTTAATACATACAAACAATTATAGTAAATACAAACATGATTTTTCACTTGGTAATTACAGTGAGAAAATAAACAATAAAAAAAAACTAAACAGTATAATGATGTGTAGCTTTTACCAATGTAATTAACTTAATTGTAAAATATATTCTTAAATATGTCAACAAAAAATATTTCTTAATATATACAAATAAAATTACATATAATATTATAATAATTTTTTTTAAAAAATAAATCATATGATGATATGGTATTTTTACCAATAGAATAACTGATAAAATAATTTTTTCAGTTATTTCATTGATAATATTGAATTTGTAACCTAACAATACTTAACATTTTTATATTCTGAAATAAAAATATTTTTATTTAACAAATACAATTTTAGGTTTATAAACATTACATGTTATTACTACTATTAACTCTCTAATGAAGTTACAGATGTTATTCTATTAGTGATAAATTTTATTTACCAACAAATATACTAATAGAAAAATAAAAACAACAGTAAAATTATATATGATATTCTTGTTGGTAATAAAAAAAATTGGTAGATTTTTTTTATATGTTTTATTTGTCTATAAATTTATTATCGGTTGGCTTATAAACAGATCATAAATCATCAACAAAGATTTTTTTGATGGATCATTTTTGTTTATAATTTTCTCGGTATAAGATATAGCAAGAGTTAATACTAGTAAAAAGTTTTATCGTGTTTTATTTGTCTATAAATTTATTATCGATTGGTTTATAAATAGATCATAAATTATCAATGAAATTTTTTTTAATGAATTATTTTTTTTTATAATTTTCTCGATATAAGATATAGCAAGAGTTAATAACAGTAAGAAAATTTATTGATAAAATTCATTAATTTGAGAGTGAACATGTCATCATGATATTGTGTTCATAAATAAAATAAAATAAAACACGAGGAGAGAGCTATATATATATACAAAATAAATTAATTTAAAAAAACGATTATACAAAAAATCATGAATCCAACAATAGAAAATAACTCTAAATCCATGTACAACAAATAAAGAAATCTCAGTATATCATTCACTGGTTCTAGTGCCCCAACATGCCTTTCTTTGTCCCAGCATCCAAAGCTTATGATGGGTCCGAGAGAAGCTTAGATTTGTCCCGCAGGAACCTCGGCTCCTAGCTAGCTAGTTGAAGAGGTGGGCATGAGTGCTAGTATTATATCATTATAATATATACAACATCATGTACTTCAGAGATTTATGTAGGGCATATTTTACCTTTATTCCTATAAATTTATCAACATCTTCACTTCCATGACCATCCGCATAACTTCATTGCCAAGATTCTGACCTTGACCTCTGCCGAGCTGAAAACTTTAAATGAAAGTTTTTATTCGGGTACCGATTGGAATTTAATATTGTTATTTTTAAAAATATATTTTTAATATTAGTATATTAAAATAATTTAAAATAAATAAAATAGCACCTTTTGAAGCCGAACGCAATAACCCTATTAATGTCTGGAAGATATATAACTTCTGTTTTTCTAATATATTTTAAAAATATATTTAATTATCAAATTAACGTTTTTTAATAATTTTTTAATGTTTTTAATATATTAATATAAAAATAATATATTTTAAAAAAATATAAAACCTTAAACAAAAGTCAATGGCAGTCTGCCGCGAATCAGGCGGCGCATAATTGCATGATATCTGAGAAACATCCAAGCCTGTACGTGATCGAATAAAATGAAAATGGTGTGTGTTGCATTGCAGACATATAATTAATTGGAAAGGCCTTCGACTGATTTATTGTGAGATTTTATTATCCAAGACCTGAGCCATACGTTACCGAAAAGCTACAATTCAATTGGTATCAGTCTCTTTTCTTTTCTTTTTAAGAGATCGTGAGCTCAAATCTTGTCTGAATAACTATATATATATATATATATAAACCGTGCGTTTAATTATCACATGTACAAACGCATTCACCTTTTTCTGTCCTTTTCTTTTACTCCTCTTTCCTGTTAAATATCTTTATATGTGATAATATCTCACAACTAAAAACATATTAAAATCTAAATAACTAAAAAAATAAATATTCAAATGGATTTGCCACCAGATTTAATGAACATTTTAGTGGTCAAGGATAGAATTGAAGCTTTTGAAAACTAAGAAAATATTCAATAAGGGAAGGAGAAAAGGCGGTCTAGGAGGAGTTGAATAATATAAAAATACAAAAATAAATTAATTTAAAAAAATACTTTTAAAACATAAAAACAAAAAAAAAAAAACTCTATACACATCCAAATTATTCAAGTGGGTTATAGTTTTCAAAAGATAAAAGAAGTTAATTATATATTTGAACTTGCCAAGCATTATTTTTACCTATCAATAATCTTATATTTGATCAAGTACCGTTTCGGAAGTAGTACGTATAATTGATTACTGTGCATGTTTAAAACTTAGAGTCCTTGCTATGTTTTAATTAATGGAGAATAATTAGCAATTAGGACAAACTATATATCAAACGAATCTTAAAAATTTATTGAAGTCTGAGATCTCTTCGAAAAGATGGACATATGTAAATCTTAACCAAGCTAGGAACTTGTTGGCGTGCGAATTATTTTTTAACCATTTTCAAGTGCTTATTGGTATTAACCTTTTATCATCTTATAAGTTTTCTTCCTACTAATCACAGATTTAAATCTTATTAATTCATTGCTTGTTTAAATTAAGAGATCTAACAAGTTTCAACATATATAAACTAATTATAATTTTAATTTTATGCAAGTTTTATATTTAAAAGATTTTTTTTTTCATGCAATAAAAATTATGATAGAAACTGAATACTGATAAAGTAGATATCAACAACATTACTAAATAAATATTGATAAAGTTTATTTAAAAGTATGGTTGTGGTTATTTTTCAAAATATTTTTTTTGAAAATATATTAAAATAATTTTTTTTATTTTTGAAAATTATTTTCAATATCAGTAAATCAAAATAAATTGAAAACACTAAAATATATTAATTTAAAATAAAAAATAAAAAAATTAAAGTTTTTAAAAACATTTTTAAAACATAAAAATAAACAAAATATTAGCTCATGAGCACCACTCAATATTAATAATAATAAAAAAATACCTAGCTCATAACCACGAGTCATGCTTAGCCACTAATCAAGGGTAGAAAATTAAGTAGCCACAAGATTTAACCAGAATCAACTTTCCACATACTATATATATGTACACATATCGACCTACACAAGATCCTCCCATGACAAACGTCTTTCTCCACACAATTCTAATTGCCTTTCTTCAAAGAAAGACCTTTTTTGGCAATCAATCATCACCTCCAAATTATCAGTTTCAGAAATGATGTCCTTGCTAGCCAACCTTTCTTTCGTACTCCTTTTCCTAGCCATCATCGCCCACCAAACTCCATGGCCTATCACTGTCCTTTTACTCTCATTATTCTCTTCCTTTGCTCTCTCTCTGAACTATTGGTTAGTCCCTGGAGGTTTTGCATGGAGAAACCATCACGACAATCAAAACCCTTCAAAGTTCCGGGGTCCAATTGGCTGGCCTGTACTAGGCACTTTACCTCAAATGGGTTCACTTGCTCATCGAAAACTAGCTAGCATGGCTAACTCGTTAGGTGCAACTAAGCTTATGGCATTTAGTCTAGGCACAACTCGTGTGATCATTAGTAGCCACCCAGACACGGCCAGAGAAATCCTATGTGCGTCTTCTTTCGCTGACCGTCCTGTAAAGGAATCAGCTCGTTTGTTAATGTTTGAGCGTGCCATTGGCTTTGCTCCATCCGGGGACTATTGGCGACACTTACGTAGAATTGCTGCAAATCATATGTTTTCCCCTAGGAAAATCTCTGGTCTAGAGCCACTTAGGCAACGTTTAGCTAATGAAATGTTGGCGGAAGTGAGTGGGGAGATGAAGGAGAGACGGGGTGTTGTGCTAAGAGGGATATTACAAAAAGGTTCATTAAGTAATGTACTGGAGAGTGTTCTTGGCAGTGATGTCCATGTGAAAAGGGAGGAGTTAGGGTTCATGGCTCAAGAAGGATTTGACTTGGTTTCAAGATTTAATTTGGAGGACTATTTTCCACTAAGATTTTTAGACTTTCATGGGGTGAAGAGAAGGTGTTATAAGCTGGCTGGCAAGGTTAATAGTGTTGTGGGTCAATTTGTGAGGGAAAGAAAAAGAGCTGGGGACTTCAGGAGTCGTAGTGACTTTCTTAGTGCTTTGTTGTCTTTGCCCGAGCAAGAGCGGTTGGACGAATCAGATATGGTTCCTCTTTTGTGGGTAAACAAGCTCTCCCTTTTCCCTCTCATTATTCTCAAAATAAATTAAACTAATCATTTGGCATTAAAAAAACTGACAAATTACTTTCCGTTCCTGAATTTTGTGTGAAAATAGTGATATTGACATTTAGCCTACTCATCTCTAAAACTATATGTTATTCCCCGGTAAATACACTTTAAATAGTACAAAAGCTGCTGTAAAATATAAATTATTGTTAATTAAGTTTGGTTTCTAAACTAATTAAAACCTCAACAAGAATATTATAAGAAATATAAATTATTTTAGACGTTCTTTTTAGCTTTTTTGTAAAGTTTTTCACTATTTTTAGAATTAAGAAACGACATGAACAATTTTTATTTTATTTTACATACAAGCACCTATTAGCAATGTAAAAGATTATTATTTTTTTATATATTTTCGTATTTAGTTTTACTATAAATCTAGTGTAGATAACAATATAATTCTTTCACGATAATTTTATAATTGAATGGAATAAAACTCATAGTTTATAATTAGATTATTATATATATATATATAATATTAAGAGGATTATTATAGATTATGATTTTGATTTTTTATGAAAAATAATTGTAATCTTGAAAGCTGGAAAAAAAACAGTTTGTTTTTGCTACCTAACACGCCCATAATTTTTTCTTAATTTTGTAATATAATAAGAAAGCAAGCACGTTCTTTCCTATAATATACGATTTTATTAAACTTTAGAGCATATATATATATATATATATTTAAAAGAAAACGAGGAGGATTTGTGCAGATATTAAACGTTGAGATATATGCTGCGTGGCTGAAATTTTACGATGTCTCGAGCGTGAGAAGTAAAATCTTTCTGAAATCTAAAATATCTTGACAGAATATCTTAAAACCCTCGCCCGTGTTTTGTCTTTTTCCTTCAACGATGTAAATGATCAGTGACGGTCGTTTTCTCACTCCTTTGATTCCCCAGTGACTCCCCACTAGCGAGGTCCTTCGCTGCACCACATCGATCCTTTTCAGTCCCCTTTATTTGATTGATTCGTAACTATTCCATATTTAAGGAATTTAAAAGGTTCCTTGTCTTTTTTTCAAGATTTGAAAACGACCATTATGATCTGACTAACTCCCAATTGGTCATTAGAAGTTGAGGCCATGCTTCCCTGTTTACCGCTGTGGATATGTCAACTTGTTAGTCTGCCGACCTCAAACATTACCCGAGTAAATTAAATCAAATAAGAGTTCATTTGATTAAATTTATTTATGGTTCTATTCCCTTAATTAAAATTTAATTGATTTTATTTTAAATTGATTTAAATTAAGTTATCCAGCCCATGAATTTCATGGATCTTGACTGGATTGTAAAAAAACATGTTTAATATCTCCCAAGCTATGATGATATTTGGTATTGTTGTTTAGCTATATTTTTTTTAAATTTCTAATCTCTTAACTTTGAGATATTATTTTTTATATTTTTTATTGTTTTGATGTATTGTTATTAAAAATAAATTTAAAAAATAAATAATATTATTTTAATATAAATAATTTTGGAAAACAACATTTTACTGCTAGAATCTTAGTCTACCTCCCTTTTTATCCACACTTCTTCGTCCATTGAATCACAGAACATTATCAATTCACTTGTGGCTCCACGTTTTCCTTTGCTTTTTACTTTTTAGGAGGCTTACTCTTAACTGCACAAATGACTATAAAATAAATATACCTAGTATTTTAATACGTGCCAAAAGTAACTCACAGCAAGAACCTTGTCGGGCAACATGCGCAGGAGATGATATTTCGAGGAACAGACACAGTTGCTATACTTCTCGAGTGGATCATGGCGAGGATGGTGTTGCACCCAGAGATCCAAGCTAAGGCCCATCAAGAGCTTGAAAAGTTCATTGGCAATCACAGGCAAGTGCAAGATTCTGACATCCCTAATCTACCCTACCTCCAAGCAATAGTCAAGGAAGTCCTACGACTGCACCCACCTGGCCCACTTCTCTCGTGGGCCCGTATTGCCATCCACGATGTGCACGTGGACAAAATGTCTATCCCCGCTGGCACAACAGCAATGGTCAACATGTGGGCCATAACACATGACCCGTCCATTTGGAAGGATCCATGGGCCTTCAATCCAGACCGGTTCATGGAAGAGGATGTGTTGATAATGGGTTCAGATTTGAGGCTTGCACCTTTTGGGTCAGGGCGCAGGGTGTGTCCAGGCAAGGCACTTGGGTTAGCCACGGTGCACCTATGGCTAGCACGGCTTTTACACGAGTACAAGTGGCTACCCGCCAAGCCCGTAGATCTTTCTGAGTGTTTGAGGCTCTCTCTCGAAATGAAAAGGCCACTGGAATGCCACGTGGTTCCATGGGGCCAATTTGCTGATTTTGATCAGAAAACTTAGTGGATGGTTGTTTTTAGGCGTATGGTATCGTGTGGAGTGGTTGTTTGTAAATTATAATAATCTACTTCCCTCCTAGATTGTGTAAAGAAGTAAGGTTGTGTGTTCGGTGTAGACATCCAGCTAAATAATATAATAAACTATTTTTAGAAAATACAAAATGTATCAGGACTAAATTGAACATATCCAAATCACAGGGACCAGAATATGAACGAGGTAAAATAACAAAAGACACTTCAAAAAGCCTTTTTTATGCTTACCCTTTTCATTATACATTACACGTAAAGCTAAAGGGCATTGTTGTTTCACCTTGAATTATGAACAGTGCATTTCTATTTTACCCTTTACAAACCAAAGAACCGATACACATACTCAGGAGTAAAAAAAGCTAATATCTTAGAGGTATTTTTCTGTATTTTTGTACAGTATAATTACCACATAGTTCCTAAAATTAAACTTGTTTTGCCTAAGGTCAGGAGCCATTTTTGGTTCCTTCACCTTGATTTTCTTACAATTATCTCATCAAAACAAAAATGTCATGGTCTTTTTATAGTTCAAGGAAAAAAAATAGCTGGCATGTTAGTAAATAAGAGTCATACTTTTTAAATGATACGTTTGATAATTTTTTATATTTATTAATAAGCTTTTGAAACTGAGATTAAAGCATCGTGCCATTCTCTATACAAATGGAATGGTATGTATTGGTATACATAATATAGAGAAACTCTAAAAATAATTCTTTTTTTTTATTTGAAAAAGATGTGATGACCTTGTAAAATTATAAAATAATTCTAAATATTTTAATTATATTAAATTTTATTGTTTTTTAATTTTATTTTAAGATTAAAATTATTTTGTAGAAAGCATTAAAAAAATTAATTTATAATAATTTTATTAGAGAGTGATGAAATTACAAAAAAAAAAAAACAAACTTGACATAACAAAAATTACTTTGGTATTTTGAAGAGGGTCTGGTGTTAAAACTAACGAAAGAAGAGAAAATAAGAGACAAGAAAGAAAATATTGGTATTTTGAAGAGGGTCTGGTGTTAAGACTAACGAAAGGAGAGAAAATAAAAAAAATAATGGACTGTCAGAGCTGTCCAGGGAGGAGTTCTTTTGATTTCTTTTAATATTTTGTTTTGTAGAGAACTGCAATATCTATTCTACTTTTTTTAAAAAAGCATCGTATTTTGCAAATCATAATTGTGCTATATTATTGGTAATTGTGAGTTACAATACACTGAAAGATGAGATAGTTTATTGTGATGCAATAAATAGAAGCATTTAATAATTTGAGCTCGTAGACTAACTTCCAGCCCGAGCTAAACTCAAATGGCAAGCTAGGCCTGAATTTCTTCTCCACGAGCCCATGGCGTGACAAAAACCAGGATCAAGCGAGGCAAGTGAGAGTCTGCGATTCAAAGTCGAAGCTGATCCGTGGACGGCTGGAGCTTTCAGGCTGCAGCGGTGCTTGAAAAGGCATCAACTCCAGTTTCAAAATTTCATAAAAGATTCTTCCCACGAGGCCTTGCAATGATTACATCAGAACGTTAATGTATTTGCAAGGTAGCCCTTTGATTTTGCAGTAATTAAAATACGGGCTGCTATTGCATGATCCGAAACTCTAACGTATCTCTGCAGTTTTTTAATTCCCATCTTCAAGTCCACCTCAAACGTGTCTTTTTCATCACATTGTCCGTATCATAAATCCAAAAGCAACAATAATCCACTCATAGACAACCAAATCAGGGAGGGAAAAACAAAATGCTACAAAATAAAATAGAACAATGAGTGTAAGAAAAGTCAATTGAACAGAGAGTACGAGTTATATACTGTCACTACATTGCATCCACAAATTAATTTTTTAAACCAGGAAGACAAGACCACAAAAAAAGAAATATACAAAGAAGGTCACCATTTTTTCCGACGAGGAGAGGATTAAAATTAAATTAAAATGCCAAAAAATGAAATTACAATTGTTTTGCTATTTTTTGAATTTTAATTTTGTTTTGAATTATTTATTTTCAATATTTATGGAAGGTTTTAATATGATAATAAAAAAATAAAATTTTAAAAATAAAAAATATTATTTTAATATATTTTTAAATAAAAAATACTTTAAAATACAATATTTATTAAACTCCCTCCCTCCACTTTTTTTTTTTCTCGCTCGTAAATAAATTTCCTAGCAACCCAAGCAATTCCTCAAACGACGCCGTGTAAAGCTAGCAAAGTCTAACCAAGAAAAAGAGCAGGATCTTTCACAATCTCAGACTAACAAATTGAAAAGCATGCGCTGCTCCGCCTGACTAAATTATAAATTAGTCCCTATTTATTAACCCCTGTCTTAAAAATAATTATTTAGTCCTTTTTTACTTTTTATTATTTTCTAATTTGTTTTTAAATATATAAATTAAAAAATAAATAGGTATTATTTGAAATATTCAATATAGATTAATATTTTTTAAAACAAAATAATATTAAATTAAATACGTTCAACATTGTTAAGTAAAGTTCTTAAGATAAGGAGGACTAATCAAGTCATTTATCTAAACTAGAGGGTCTAATGTATAATTTACCTGTTACAGTTTCCAACTCTCACCCGCTTGCACTATCTTTCGCGAGTAAGGAATCTCTCACAAACTTCAAATTATAATATTTTGTCTTTTTCACTGTTTCTGTCTTTTTCTCTATTTTTTTCTTTTAAAAAAAAAATTAAATACCTGATGAATATACGCACAAGCAGGGGGGAAAACTCGCAGCTAGGTTTGGTCTCTGACAATAATATATATACATAAAAAAAAAGTTTTTTCAATCTTTCATGGTTTCCCTCTCTTTTAAAATCCTTGGAGGGAAATAAGAACTTTTTCAAAAATTAAAATAAAAACAAAGACCCCTAGCTAAGCCAAATTTCTCTACTCTTTCACTCTTCTTTGATTCTTAAAATCTAGGGTTTTACTGGTAATTAATTTACTTCACCGGCTCTCATTCATTTCTTTAATTTGCAGCCAGAAAAATGGTGCTAGTTCATCACTTGCAATCTGTTCATGCTCGATTTTAACTTATCAGGTAAGCTTCTCTTATTACTGCTCGTTTTTAGCTCTCAACTACTTCTCTCTCTCTCTCTCTCTGTTTTTTTTTGCTATTGTTCGTGAAGTTTATGAACTTGATGTTTTGAATGGCAGAATTTTTTTTTGGGGGGTTTAATTTGTTTACTGAAGGTGTTTTGGAGTTTGGCATGCTGGAATTGGAATTTGGTGATTTTGAAGTGGAGGGGTCTAGGGCTTTGAGTTTCTGCAATTGCATGCATTTGATTCTCAATTTTAAGCTGTTTTTTGAAATGGGTTTAGGGAATTTATACTGTATGTATTGAAAATAAAAGGTGCCCACTTATTTGTAGTGTAGATTTCAAAATGTTATCTTGTTTGTATAGACTTCAGTGTATAATGAATGCAATCTTCGTCTGGTTTTTCGGAGTTTGAGATTCTAAAGTTTTAATTTTTGATTCATCTTTAACCTAAAGTTTAAAGCTAAACAGTCTGAAGCTTAGGAAAATGTATTTTTGATGGGGTTTTCTTTAATCCGTGATTTGTATTTGGATATGTTGGTTTAACATCATGCCTTTAAGCAGTCTTTCTGAATTCAAAATCCTACTTTAATCTGTTATCAGTGTAATTTTGCTGCCAAAATATGACAAAGACTATATTTTGTGTATACAAGGCTGCAATGTATCCTTGCATTTGTAGTGGGAATCTTCCACTTCACCATCAATAATCTGCTTTGTGTGTTGCATTGGAAGATATTTATTATATAGTGATAAAAACCAACTCTTTTCATGCTTTAAGAAGATCCATTTTGATCTTTCTCTTTGCTATTTTCATTTTTCACAAGACTGCGTGGTTGTAGATATTAGCGTGCATAAAGTTATAGCTGGTTGACCTTGACTTGAAAATCTAAACAGTATCTGACTGAGTCAGAGTACAGGATGCTCCGGTCAGGACTGTATCTCCAATTTTTTGTTTTTTCTGCTGGAGCTGAATAAGGTGGAATAGCTTCAAGTCTGGGACAATCTTCCTGTAGAAATGCAAACTAAGAAAAGAATTTGTGGAAGAAATGCTTCAAGAGAGCTTGCAAGTCCTATGATTTCAAGAGCTCAGAAGAAACTGTCTGAAAATGTGCAAGTCGCGGAGAAAGTTTCAGAACTAATTACATCTTCAGCTAGAAAGCAGAAATGTAATATGTTGCTACCTTTTCATTTTTCCAGTTAATGCATGCTTGCACAGAACACAGTAGGTTGACTTTTTCATGGAAATTGTAATAAAGTGTCAGATTTAGATTTTTTCTTTTGCAGCAGTGGCAAGGAGTGGGGCAGCGAGTCTCTTGCAATTAAAGACGTGCTAAAAAAGTGAAATGTTGACTACTGTTTTGAACTTAACACTCCAAATCAACAAAACACATTACTCAATACGTGACATCACCTGTGCGGTACTTATCAGTGTCAAGCAATTTGATCTGCCCAAGCAAAATGTAATTCAACTCAATGTTAGCAGATTCTAGATTGAATTTAGGTCCCTGAATTAAGCTTAATTCCCAAGTTTCTCTCATTTTTAAGTTATCATAATTTAGCATTTTAACTTGCTGTTGCTTCACCCATGACCTCTTATAACTCCTCTTACGTTTTAAGGATATTGAATTTAGTGATAAAGGATATGAATTTGTTTAAAAAGATGTAACTGTATTATTATTATTGCATAAAGGATATGAATTTGTTTAAAAAGATGTAACTGTATTATTATTATTATTGTATAATGTACTTGACCGTGCTCCTGATAGCATCAAGTTTCATCCTCATTGTATCTGCTGCAAAGTCAGGATCTGAGGAAATTCTAATATTAGGGAAATCAGCATCACACATTGTGCTATTAAGAATTAATTTTCTCATTTATTATTTTAGTAAGAACCTTCAATCTTTTTAATTGTGTTTACTCCAATCTAAAAAACTCTTTGCAGGCACCCTTCCAAAGAAAAATCAGGAGCCTATTGCAGCAACAAATTTGAATACTAGATACAACTCAGTGCATCATAAGGCTTCTGATGCTTCAACTCAATGTGATGTGGTGGATCCTGAGGTAACTGCACCAACTGTGTGTGCTACGCACCTTTCTACCCCTGCTTTAGATTCTTTCTTTTCAGGTTTGACAATGAATATGTAAAACTTGACATGCTCCTATTCTAATCAAATTTTATTGGTTGTTTTTAAATAGCTCTCAGAAGTGCATGCCAAAAGAGTGAAAAATAGCAAGAAAATAATCAACATGTCAAGCATTAAGATTCTGTCATATGATTTGCTAATTTGTATTGCAGGGCTGTAATGAAGGAGCTGCTCAATGTGTGGTTCAAGCTATATTTTCTCCTGCTTTTCACATATCTAAGATTGCTGGAGGAGAAATTCCTGATGGAGGTGAGTGACAATCAGTATTTTTGTTTTAAAGCTGATATGCATGAACACGTGTTTATTTAAGCTTCTGTTATCTTTTCCTTCTTATACAATACCTTTTTTTTTTGGCATAATATCCTGTTTAGTTGACTTCATCAAACTGTATCGGACTGGAGAGTCCCGGGTTGATATGCTGGATGCTCATCTTACACAAGAAACCTTGAAACCCTTTTTTGGAGAACACAATGAGAGCACATTATCTTCCCTCAACACAACTTGTCATAGTGTCATAGAAGTGGAGAAAAATATATCAGCCAAAAACTCATATGTGGATAACTACGGTGATCAGGTGCTCTCTACTGATGCAACTACTGTGAATTCTTGTGGTATTGCAGTTTCAAACGGAGTTGGTCTTCCTTCTGAAGTTTCATCTATATATCTTGCAATGAAGAACTCAAAACTGGAATGTGTTAATGAGCATGGTCAAGATTCTATGTCGACTGATGTTTGCATGGAGGAGGAGGATTATGAGGAGTTTGATGACTTTGACCCTTATCTATTTATAAAGAACCTGCCAGAGTTGTCATCGGTAGTCCCCACTTTTCGGCCTATGCTGCTACCTAAACAGACACGGAGTTGTCCTCCTACAACTCTTGTTTTGGACCTGGATGGTACAGAATTTTAGACTTTTATTTCATGTTAATTTTATACAAACATGTTTATTACACATGATCTTTAACTTTATTGTTTTATATTCTGTTCTCGTGATTTATGTGTCTTTATTAATGATTCAATTAATGCCAAGCTCTTCCTTTTGCTCATTTTATCATGCTGAGGTAATTGTCTCAGAATCTTTTGGTTTTTGTATCTGTGGAGGGAATGCTGCAGAGTCCTTTTGTTTGTTTGTTTTTGTAAAACATTTTTAGAGACTCTTGATGTTATTGTTTGTTTCTGATAAAAGAATGCCTTCTTACAGTATTTCATATGCAATTCTCATTTGCAAGGTGTATTAATTGCGGTGTGAATGGCTGAGCTTTCTTGAGATTATTGCATCCAGATGACTCATGAAATGCAATGTTCTGATTTCTCTGTGTACCTGCTCATCTGCTTCTTGTAATTTTGATTATGATGATGAAGTGAACATCAACTATATTTTGACTTATTGTTGGAAGGTAGGAGTTTGTTTAACCAGAAAAAAATTTGGAACCAAAGCTGCCATACTTGTTTTATGAAGCAACAGTTTTCCATTTAATATTGTGCAACTTGCATATTCAGCCATTGGCTACCTGCATCCTATTTGTTTCTGATTGTGAAAGCCTTGATTGCCATTTTTAATTTCAGAAACACTGGTGCACTCCACACTTGAACCTTGTGATGACGCGGACTTCACATTTCCTGTCAACTTTAACCTCCAGCAGCACACAGTCTTTGTTCGGTGCCGTCCTTACCTCAGAGATTTCATGGAGAGAGTTTCTAGTCTTTTTGAGATCATAATATTTACAGCTAGTCAAAGTATCTATGCAGAACAGCTTCTAAATGTGCTTGATCCAAAGAGGAGGATATTTCGACATCGTGTTTTCCGTGAATCCTGTGTTTTTGTCGAGGGTAACTACCTCAAGGATTTGTCAGTTCTTGGTCGTGATTTGGCCCGTGTTATTATAATTGACAACTCTCCCCAGGTACTGTTGCAGAATTCTTCTCTTTCAGTGCTTTCTGATTTACACGGCTTGAATCATAATTTGATTGGTCTTTTAGAGAGACTGCTTCCTTTTACTCGGTATTTGCCTTTTTCAGTAATGTTTTTGGGAGTGTGGGGTGGGGTTGTTGGGGACATCTGGCATTATATTTTGTCCATGGCATAAAATTGATAAAAGCTATCTTCTTAATATGAAAACCATTACTATTTTGTTGCTGATTTGCCTAAACACTAGAATTTTTGGAAGATGTTGCCCTGTTTAATCAGTAACACTCTGAATTGAAATAACCATTCTTTGCAATGGCAGAAAGCCATTGTATGAGATTTCTGTTTTCTTTCTTCATTGTATCCAAATCATTAGATATTGGTGTTAGCTGTCTTTAGAAACCATGGATACTTACCAAGATAAAAACAATTGCTTGACTAATCGGTTGAAGGGAAAAAGGTGAGGAAGAGAATTGAGGCAGGGTTAAGGAGTGGAATGGCTAGAGGCTTTTAGGAGGGGTCAGGTTTCTATTTGTGAGACTTGTTAGAGCTCAAATTGTTGACTAGGTCGATGGTTTTCATTTCAGGCATTTGGCTTCCAGGTAGACAATGGTATACCAATTGAGAGCTGGTTTGATGATCGTGCAGATAAAGAATTGCTTTCACTACTTCCATTTTTGGAGAGCTTGGTTGGGGTCGAAGATGTTAGGCCAGTGATTGCAAAGAAATACAATCTTCGGCGGAAAATTGCTTCAGCTGCTTACCCTCCATTGAATTTAAGTAGAGATCCTTTTTGAAAGGTAGCTTCAAGTAGAGACGAGATCCTTCTGAAATATTCGAGTTGGGATGCAATTATAGGATTAAAATGTCAAGGAAATCACGTTCTCTTTCGTGGAGAATGTCTTTGCAACGGTGAGATTTGAAATTGAAGTGCGATTCTAACAAGAAAGAGGGAGGTAGGTGTTTATGGATTTAATTGTGTGAGAGTCGGAAACTGTTCATGGTAGGAACCTGGAGCGTGAAAGTGCACCACAGGTAAATACTTGAAAATAAGAAGCTTCATAGACAGTTTAATATGTCAACCCGGTTATGAGTTCGAAACTAATTGAATTTTTTAGGTTATTTATACTATACTAGATTATGGGAGCATCTAGAAGGGTGTGAAAAACCCATGGCAATTCTATCTTATTATTTATATTGAAGCAAAAATTTTCCTTTCTGCTCTTCTATGTTGAATTGTTAGACGTTATGTAATAATTTTTTTTAAAGTATTTTTTATTGTAAAATATATTTAAATAATAAACTTCTTTATTTATTAAAATTTATTAAAAAAATATTTTAAATAAAAAACAATTTTTTTAGAAGTATAAGTTAACTAGTGTTCTGAAATACCATCAATTCGAGCGTGTTTAGGAGTGGTTGGGGTTAATTTGTAAAATGCTTTTCATTTATAAAAGTATATTAATAATATTTTTTATTTTTTAAAAAAATATTTTTAAGATTATTATATTAAAATATTTAAAAATATAAAAAATATATTAATTTAAAAAAATTAAATTTTTTTAAAATATTTTTCAAACGCTATGCTAAAAAATGCAAGGATAACACGTGTAGATCTAGAAATAATTAAAATTTGCTTTGAAAAATTTCACTCTTTCATCCATGGCAGGGGCGAACATCTGTTGATTGGATTCTACTTGGATATTGAAAATTTAAAAAAAAATCAGGAATGTACTTTTTAATTTTGAATTGAACTGAATTGCAGTACCAGTAGTTCAAGGATTCAGTTTTTATTTAAAAATATCGAATTAGTATAATCAACAGACTTTGATATAGTAGAATCTGAGTGTCTGGCTTTTTTATTTTTTATGTAAAAAAATTGATTTGGTTTGGTTTAATAAATTTAATTTTTTAAAATTCGAAAATTGAAACGAAGAAAATTGGATTTGTTTTAAGTTTTTTTAATCAATTTTTTCTTCAGTTTAACATCTTAAATAGATTTTTTTCAGCCAATCAGAGTATTTAGTTATCCTGATCGCCCATATTTTCCCATCGTCATCCCCTTTGACAAATGAGAATTCACTGCATTGAACAAGGACTCCATTGTATGAAGTAGACAAAAGCTGTCTTCACAGCAAGGACTCCATTGGTGTCTACTCTGTAGTTTATTGGTTAATTTTGCACTAGAATTTTTGGGTTGGGATGTTATTCATGCTTCACTGCTGTAGCAGTGCTCACTGATGACATGCTGAGAAAAGTCCTCCCGGAAACAAAAGCCTTGGGATCTGAGTAGCTTCACCTTATTTCATGGCAATGTCACATTTAGGATTTGTGTTTAGCTGCCAACAGACAAGGCAATTGCTAGATTTACCTTGTGGCTTTGTGCGACTTGCTTAGTGTTAAGAAATTCTTTCTATTTGTGATTTCAATCCATGAAAAGGTCCCTGTTTTTCTTCAGAAGGCATTTTGGCTGCCAACAAGACAATAATGCTATAGAATTGAGAGTTGATTGGATGTTCGCTCAGATCAAGAGCTACCTACTTCCATTTTGGCAGAGCTGGGCTGCAGCTGGTGTGAGGTTGCTGATTGCAAAGAAACACAATCTAACCGAGGAAATTGTTGCTGCTGTGTGCATCAACTGGGTTCAATTGAAGAACATCCTTTTGAAAGGTAGCCTTAAGCTGGTCAGGAACAGATTCTTTTGTCAAGCATGTATTTGCAAACCTGATATTTGAAACTGAAGTGCGGTTCCAACCAGAAAGAGGGAGGGAGGTTACCACGGGGTTGATCGTGTGAAGAAGCTGAAACTTTTCATACAAGGAAGCTGGAGAGTGAAATTGCACTACAGCTAATGCGGATGACAAGAATGTAACATAAATCTATCGGAAATAGACAAATTCATCTGTTTGAGAATTATGATCTTTGTTTCATCATAAATTTTACTCCCAACGATTTTACAATTGAAATGTGACGAGTGATGGTACTGCTTGCATCAGCCTTCAATTGAAAGATTTTCATTCTGTCTGGAAATAGAGGCATCATGAATATTAATATTTTTTTCACATTAATTTGCCTACCATTTTTAAATATTAATCTGATATATTTTAAAGCAAAAAATATTTTAAAAAGTAATTTTTATTAAACTAGAAAACAACATTACACGGAGAAATTAGTGGCAACTAAGAGACGACTCTAATCCCTAAACTCGTCAGGAAATTGACTGCATTAATCACCAGCTGCTCAACCACACATCCTTTTCAACATTCAAACCAAATTATTTGGTAGTTAGCTGTTACTATGCTTGCTTGAGATAAAATTGCTTCAGATGAGGTCTCCCCTCTATTCCTCCATGACCTGGACTTCATCCAACACTGAAAAATGACTTCCTTGATAGAAACCTCTTGATCGTTAGCTTTATCACCAAGTATTACAGTTAATAATATCTTACATAAATTGTCAATATGGTTAAATTATCCAGGTGAAATTTGAGATGAAAGCGATATTGAAGAAGGATACCTTTCATTTACTAACCTAATCATGGGATTAGAAACTATATAAGAATTGACATTAGAAATTAGGTCTTAATTTACGAGTGGTGACCTAAAAATATGCCTAAAGCAAGTCATTACTTTGTGGTTTTACAATCTGTTACATCAATATCGCTTGGCATTGCATTTCGAAGCAGATAGCTAAATGAAAGCTCCATTAGTTTGTTGCTGAAAATGGAAGTCTGCTATACCGAAGACTACAACTGCATGGGACTAATCTGGACAATGCCATGCCAAATAGAGTTGGGATTTTCGTATTATTATTTGGTAGGAAGGAAGGACAGGTTTTTACTTCAAATGAAAGGAGACCAAGGAAATTGGCTTTGACTGTACTCAAGAGTTGTCAATAAACTGAAAATGTCTGCATATATTATTCATGAAGCTTGTTCTAGTTTACTTCTCAATAAAAAAACTATACAATTTCTATCACCTAATCACCAGTTAAGCCCTTCCCTTTACTATTTTTGATGAGCAACCAACACTTTTCCTTGAACAATCTCTCTATATATACTGGATTCCAAGATTTTATGAACATATAGTCCAAGTGTCTTGACAGAAAAAAAAACAATTTTACGTTCAAGCATTGGAGCTTGTAGCCTTGTCTGAAAGAAGAAACAGATAAAATGGGCATTTCTTTTCTTCCATCTCCAGCTTTTTTGGGACTTCTTCTCTTCTCATTCGTCACTTTTTCTCTCCATCCTAAGTCTGCAGTTGCCATTACTAGGCACTACAAACTTGATGTATGCGTAACATGTCATTAGCTTTGTTACCTAAACTTATCAAGATAATATTGTCACACACATTACTTTGCTTTCACATTTTTATCCAAAAAAGAACATTATTTCGAATTTTCTCCATCCGTTTTTCTTAGACAAGTTTTCTACTTCATTGCAGGTCATGTTGCAGAATGTGACACGCCTTTGTCACACCAAGAGCATGGTGACAGTCAATGGGAAATTCCCAGGGCCTCGCATTGTTGCTAGGGAGGGTGACAGACTTCTTATTAAAGTGGTTAACCATGTCCAAAACAATATCTCTATTCACTGGTATAATAGGCATTTTCAGTTTCATTTTTTGTAATGTACCTGATATCGCGAAAACGTGGTCTGAATTTCCATCTATATTTTCATTGATAACAGGCATGGAATTCGACAGCTTCGAAGTGGATGGGCTGACGGACCAGCATATATAACTCAGTGCCCTATACAAACTGGACAAAGCTATGTTTATAACTACACCATTGTAGGACAAAGAGGCACTCTTTGGTGGCATGCCCATATATCATGGTTAAGATCAACTCTCCATGGTCCCTTGATCATTCTTCCCAAACTCGGCACTCCTTATCCATTTGTCAAACCTTACAAGGAAGTTCCCGTCATCTTTGGTAATGAGCTATTTACGCAAAGCTACTCTTAAGAACTAAATGGAATTTACAATTATTCTTTCCTGTTGAGGTCGTCTGCATTTGCCAATACAAGTAACAAGGTTGATTACTTAATTTGCAGGAGAGTGGTTCAATGCAGATCCAGAGGCAATCATTAGCCAGGCATTGCAAACAGGTGGAGGGCCAAATGTCTCTGATGCCTACACTATTAATGGACTCCCAGGGCCATTATATAACTGCTCTGACAAAGGTACAATATGTTAGCAAATTAGGCCTTCTACCACAATACAGAGTCTCTCTCTCTCTCTCTCTCATTTACGTTGTGTAAATGATACTTGGCAGATACTTTCAAGCTAAGGGTAAAGCCCGGAAAGACTTACCTTCTTCGCCTGATCAATGCTGCACTCAACGACGAGCTTTTCTTCAGCATAGCAAACCATACATTCACAGTTGTGGAAGCTGATGCTGTGTATGTGAAACCATTTGATACCAAGACGCTTCTCATTGCCCCTGGACAAACCACAAATGTACTTCTCAAGACCAAACCCCACCGCCCAAATGCCAAATTTTTCATGACTGCTAGACCTTACGTGACTGGTCAAGGAACTTTTGATAATACAACTATTGCTGGCATTTTAGAATATAAAGAATCGCATAAAACCATTCAATCAAGCCACTCTACTAAAAAACTACCGCTTTTTAAACCAAATCTACCACCTCTAAACGATACTTCATTTGCAACAAACTTCACTAGAAAACTCCGCAGCCTAGCCAATGCACAATTCCCTGCCAATGTGCCTCAAAAGATTGACAGACAATTTTTCTTCACAGTAGGCCTTGGAACACACTCATGCCCCCAAAACCAAACCTGCCAGGGACCCAATGGAACAATGTTTGCAGCTTCAGTTAATAACGTGTCATTTGCAATGCCAACCACGGCTCTTCTCCAAGCCCACCATTTTGGTCAATCAAAGGGTGTCTATACTCCTGATTTTCCAATCAACCCACTTACTCCTTTTAATTATACTGGAAATCCGCCAAACAATACCATAGTGAGCAATGGAACAAAGCTAGTCGTGCTTCCTTTCAATACCACTGTGGAGCTCATTATGCAGGACACTAGCATACTTGGTGCAGAGAGCCACCCTCTTCACTTGCATGGCTTCAATTTCTTTGTTGTTGGTCAAGGTTTTGGGAACTTCGATCCAAATAAGGACCCCGCAAATTTCAATCTTGTCGACCCCATTGAAAGGAATACTGTTGGTGTGCCCTCTGGTGGGTGGGTTGCTATACGATTTCTAGCAGACAATCCAGGTTGGTAATTAGTAATTACTGCAAGTAATGCAAATTAAAGGGTCCTAGATTACGCAGGAAAATAAACCTATGTAAATAGTATTATGTTTCTGCTAACCTCTTTAATTTCTTATGATTTTTTCTTGCGTGTCCGCAGGTGTATGGTTCATGCATTGCCATCTAGAAGTGCACACAAGCTGGGGTTTGAAGATGGCTTGGATTGTCTTGGATGGAAAGCTTCCCAATCAGAAACTGCTTCCTCCACCTGCTGATCTTCCCAGGTGTTGACATGCAAGCTTCTTCTTAACGACACAGAGAGCAGAAACTGCCCAGAAGCTCTTCTTTTTTTCTTTGGGTTCTTTCCTACTATTTTTTATGTAATCTAGCTTTGTTCCTCGGCTCATTTTCAGCTTTTGTCCTATGAGCATTTATCTTCAGAGATCATTGATTACCCATGTTGGAATTGAGGAAAAGAAACAAATGTACAATTTTTTTCCCCAACGAGCTTGCAAGAAAACATTTTGCTATTATTTACATTTGTTTTCAAGATTGAGCTAGCAGTACAAGGACTCCAATTGCATAGCAGTCTCGCAAACAAGGATGGATAATTACAAATAGAAATGACTGAATATAGTAAAATAAAACCATCACCCTGCTCATTGTCATATATTATAAAAAGAGAGTCAAGATTTCCAAGAGGAATTGAAAGTTGCAGAAACTGCATCCTGTCCTTGCTGTCTAGTGAAGCTTGAAACTGGCAAAGCAGCAATTGAATATGAGATGGGTTTGCAAGAAATCCGTGGAGTCATGAACATGTAGATGCCTAGAGGGTGTTATCTGTTTCAGTGAAGTACAATGTGGAAAGAAAGGTTTGATCATTGTAGCCATGGAAACTAAGCTATAGCTTGAAGGTATTGATTCAAAACTTGCCCTGTTTTTTTTTTTTTTTTTTTCAAGTTAAAGGTGTTCAAAATATTGAAGTAACTTTTCCCATTGAACGTCTATGAATATTGATTTCACATGTTTCATTAAACATGGCTTCTAGTTCTTTTGCTGGCACGCATCATTACAAAGTGCCTATGAGACTTCATTTGCCTGTAGCTTATGAAAGTTCATGCTGTTGTACAGCTTATCCTGCTGATTATGGCGTCTGGTAATCGTTAGCTACTTAGCTGTACTGAAGTATGTTACAAGCTTGTAACATATAAATAAAGGAGAGAGAAAACTCTCAAAAGGTTTCCACCTGTTTTTTCATCATCAAGGGCCACAGGGATTTCAAGATGACCGAAGTGACTCAAATCAGTGAAACAACAAGAGGCTAAAATTCTTCCACACCGGTAACTACCGTAGAGAATCTACTCCACAATTTAGAAAGCCAAGAAACCAAACCCAGAATGAAAATGGATTGGCCAATCATAACCCCAGTATCCTGGCTTCAGGTGGTGTTACTTCCACACCATTACCAATAGGTTGAAATTTACCACAAAGTCTGAACGGGAAGACAGTGCTCTAAAGGTCTTTTAATCTTTATGTTCAAGATTTTCTGGTAATGAGGATACAATGAAAAGGAAAGAAACAAGACTACTGTAGGCAGTATTTTCAGGGCATCTCAGAAGATTAATTGCTTAAATTTTATTCCATGAGAACGAAACAACACTTGGTGACAGAAGACACTTGGATGATAGGAAAAAAACGAGATGCTTGACAATTAGACATGCACCAAAACAAGATGCAGATAAACTTGTCACCAGACCTCTGGACGCAGCTCGCCACTTGCTGGGGGCATCCATCTCCCAGAATTATAGACACTTTCACCAACTTTCCAACCAGGAACATCCTTCATTACTTCTGCCTCGTATTCAAGATATTTCTTCCACTCCTTGACGAATCTAAATAAAGGAAAATAGGAAGAAAGGAAAGACATGGATATTTTATAAATAAGAGGTGGGAAACACATTAGGAAGTGATGAAGGAAAAGAGCTGTTTCCTACCTTTCATCTTCTTCAGCTTGAAGCAGAGGCAGGATCGCCCTGCGTGCAGCATACTTCTCTTCCTTAAGTGCCCTGCAGAGTGAAAATGATTTAAGAACAAGTTCACAATTGCTAAAATGGCCTAAAAAGGAACTTGGAGGCTTTGCAGCATAGCTATATCACCGATCACTACATACAAGGCTAAAGAGCACACAGGTGCTTGAACTACTAAAAAAAAATATAGAGTACAAATTCATGGTGATTAAAACTTTTTTTATACAGCATACATTAATCAGGGTTTCTTACAAGAGGTGGGCAGTCATATATGCACCTTCAAGGTCGAGTACACAACTAATCCAGCCTCTTGACATGTCCTTGGCTCAAATTGAGATTTAAACTTGTACATGGGCAAATATGCATGACGTGCACTGACTTTATGCTTTTACTTTAGAACTGGAAGCATGGAATATATATTGCATTCAAAACGATGCTTACTTTCTATATTTGTCTTTCAAGATGCCTCAACATCCTACTCCTCATGTGAGACTATCCAGATGTATATATCCAACAAGGAAATAAACATTGACATGGGTATTGACCCCTCGGATAAGATGCACCATAAGCCATAATCTTCTGAAATAACGTTCTTGTATAGAAATCAGGCTACAACAACTAAAATGACAACTTTAAGGAATGTCAAGAAATCACAAAGGTGGTTTCCAAAAACAGGAATTTTTTCTACACCTTGAGAAGGAGAACACAAGGAGGCCAAGTGCATAAGATTTCAAAATTCTAGTCTGCCCAGGTTGATTCTCATCAAAGAACAAAATATAATCTGCAGGTGATGCGTCCATTGCAGCCACATTCTGAATACAAACAGTTTCAAAAGGAAAGTAAATATAACAACGAAAAACCTTACTCTAAGCATTCATCTAAGATCATTTTTATGTTCAAACTGTTTACTTGGATTTTGGAGGCTTTGACAGCCATAAGTAACACACTAGCTCTTTCACAGGAATAATCTTTCACTTTCCCACCAGTACCAGAGACGACAACTCCAAACAACTTACTCAAAACATGGTGAATCAGTGTCTCCTCATTGAAACTGAAAGTTTTTCCTTTCACTGTCATTCACAAACCTCAATTTACTTTTAGGTCAGGTGTGTTCAAGATTGAGTTTCCAAAAGCAAGGTCTAAATGCTTTGAGGTTTCAGAACCACGGTTTCTGGAAATGTCACTAAACATGCACAAACCTGCTTTTTTTGACACAAAACCTACCTTTTGCCAACTTAACCAATCCCAGACATGTTCTCTCCCAAGTCAAAATAATAACCATTTTCATTATGTTATATTAATTATGCAAAATTGCTAATTCCATGGAAAACATTAGCAAGCAAAGACCACAAATCACCAAAACATTTAAATTATACTTAACTCACCTTCTCAAAAATCAAAGATAACACGTCTCCCACACCATGTAGTTGAATGAACAAAATCAAATTTATCACGGCAATTCACTTCTATAGAGCATTTTGATTGGAAAGGTTGTGGTTTTTGTACTTTTCTATGCTTTCAGTGCAGATTTTGTAAAAGTGTATGTGAGGGGGGAGAATCTACTCTCAATTCTTTTAAGGATTTTGGGTTGAAAGTAAAAGCTATACATTTGTAGCATACTAAAGAGCATTTTTCCAGTGAAGGTAGATACAAATATAATTAATTAACTTGGAAGTTCCTTGGTGCCTCTCGGTGCTTATAATAACCGATTTCTATTCTTTACCCATCAGAAACTCGGTCACAACCCACCTAGAATCTGAAATTTTCTAATATCCATTTGAGAAATAAACAAAATTCATCTACAAGAAACCATGTCCGCTCACAAGGCTTCATAATTTCTACCTGTCACCCTTGAAAACACAAAAAAAAAAAAAATTATGGCTACCACCCAACACCACAATCAAAATAGGAAAATTCTAACAAAATTCCAATCTCATAATGCTAACACTATGATGAACCGCCATAATCAGCACATTGTAGTGCTAATTTCACAATCCAAACAAATCCAGATGCCAAGTATTGTCACAAACAGAACCGTTAATTTTGATAATTTTGAAGTGCCAAGTAAAGAGTTCCTCACAATCTTCAATCTAATCATCCAATCCAGAACACACAAAAAAAATCCAAATCCTTCAGATTCATAACTTTAATTCAAAATCAAACAAACCCCGGATACCAAAACCAGTCGAAAACCACAAAAAAATCGAAAATTGAAAAAAAAACAGTTTTTACCTGCGGATCTTGTTGCCCTTGCCGACTTGGTACATGCCATATGAAAAGGCACCAAAAGCAGCGAGAAAGATGGCCATAGCACTAGGACCTTTGCTGGGGATCCTACGAGCGAATCGGACAGGAGCAAAACCACCAGGAGGAGGGCCGTCTTGAAGAACAGGCATGTCCTTCACGCTTGCCATCCCTGGCTTGTTTCTTATCACTGCCTCCGTCATTTTCTCTTGATGTTGCTCTTTGTTATCTCTGTGTGGTTTTTTTAGTGAGATTGGTTTGTTTTGAGGAAAGTGAAGACCGAAAGATGAACAGTAGGGAGAGCTTGGGAGTAAAAAATGCGATGGTGTGTAGAGGGTTACACACGTGCGTGGTCAGTCGTTGCTTGCCATCCCTGCCTTGTTTCTAGTCAAGTGCCTTTTTCAACTAGCCGTTCGATTATTAACAAGATGGCATGACTGCACACCGCCATGAATTTATAAAATAAATATATTTAATAGTATTATAATTATAAATTAGTATTAAATAAATAATAAAAATTAAAAATATAACAGAATTAATATTTTATGAAAAAAATTATATTAATTATTAAATATTTAAAAACTGAATAGGATAATTTATATTATTTTTTTAGAGAAGATACAGTATCTTTACTATATGTTTTAGTTCACTATATGTTATTAATAGCAAAAAAACATTACAATGCTAAATTCTTTATAAATTTAATATAAATAATCAAAAAATATAATTTTGTGAGGAAAAAAACCTACGAGGAAAAATATTGTAACAATTGATAATGTTTTGTGAGAAAAACTATATTATTTTCTCCAATAAAATCAACAAGGAAAATTTTAGAAAAAATCATAAAAAAATCATTTAGAGAAATATGGTAGCAATTCTCAGTATTTTGTGAGAAAATTTACAATATTTTTCTCATATGATTTATTTTTATTGTAATTATAATTCTTAACCAACTCAATATTAAAAAAAATCGACAAAGATAATTTTGAAAAAAATCATAAAAAAATTATATGGAAAAACACTACAACAATTTACAGTGTTTTAAAGAGAAAAAAATTACAAAACAAAATTCTCAATAAATTCAATATTAAAAAAATAAAATTGACAGAGACAATTTGAAAAATAGAAAAAAATATTTTGAAAACACTGTAACAATTCATGGTGTTTTGTGATGACAACTACATACTTCCCTACATGATTTAATTTTATTTGTAATGACTTATAATTGTAATTTTCAACCAGCTTGATATTAAAAAAATAAAATTAACAAAGATAATTTTAAAAAAATCATAAGAAAAAAAACATGTTGAGAGATACTCTAATAATTCATAGTGTTTTACGAAGAAATCTACAATACTTTCCCCACATTATTAAACTTTGTCACAAAATTAAATTCTAACCAGTTTAATATTAAAAAAATAAAATCAACACAAATAATTTTATAAAAAAATATTACAAGAAAAGAAAACACAAAAGAAACTTGAAAAAAATTATGTACAAAAAAACACTATGATAATTCACAATAATTTACAAGAAAAATTACATTGTTTTTCTCACATATTATAACTGTAATTTTTAACTAACTTAATATTAAAAAATAAAATTAAAAAAAATAATTTCAGAGAAAACTATAAAAAAAAACCATGTGGAGAAACACTGTAGCAATCAAACAATATTTTTAAAAAATTACAAAATTAAATTCTTAATCAACTCAATATTAAAAAAATAAAATCAACAAATATAATTTTAAAAAATAAATAAATAAAATAGAAAAATCACGTGGAAAACACACTGTAACAATATATAGTATTTTAAAGAAAAAATTATAATTTTTTTTTAATCAACTAAATATTAAAAAAGATTGACAAAGATAATTTTTTTTTTTTTTTTTAAAAAAAGTAATTTTTTGAAAAAAGGAAAAAACACAAAAAAGGAGGAAAGTTGGGAAAAAAAGGTGAAAAAAACAAAAATATATATATATAAAAAAGAAGGAATGCATTATGGATTACTAATTTGTAATCCACGGTATATTGAGTAGTATTGGGTATGGGTGGACAATTAATTCTCTACACCCTTTAACTTATTATTTAATTTATTACCATAATGTTTTTACATTACTTCTATTTTATTTTAATATATTTTTAAATAAAAATTTATCTTGCAAAAGAAAAATATATAAAAACATGACATAACTAAATAAACAAACAAATATCAAGTTTTGTTAAATAATATCATATTAAAAAGAGAATATGACATTTAGATCTTGAAATGTTTGAAAAATAAAACATTAAATTGTTAATAGTTAATAATATTACAGGTACAATAGAAGCTTTTTTTTTAAAAAATAAAAAATTATAGATGTACAGAAAACCAATGTGTTCTTGTTTTTGTTGTTCAATGAATCAATAAAAAAAATCTGAAATTTGTACTCTATAGATTATATAAATAAAAAAAATATGTTCATGTGGTGTGTGATGTACGTTAGAAAATGAAAAAAATTCTTCTATAGTGATGGTTGAAAAAAAAAAACAATCATGATGCTATAAAAAGAAAAGTTCCTGTGGTTTGTAAAAAATTAAAAAAAGTTATATAAAAATTTTATTGAATTTTTTATACGGGAAATACAACATTCGGTATTAAATCAGAAAATAAAAAATAATATACAAAATATTGTGTAATAAGAAAAAAAAGTTATATAAAAGACACATACTGGAAAAAGTAAACAAAAATTAAATAGAAAACAAGTATTCAAGAGTTTATATTAAAAGACTATGAAATAAATAAATGTGTAATGGTCATTTGAATAATTTTGAATAATTTAAAGATATTATAATCGAAGAGTATTATAATCAATAAAATATTTTTAGAATATTTTTTATACATAGTAATTGATTTGTCATTAATAAAATAATTACATTAATGTTGTTATAAATAATAAAGGAATTGCAATTTACAAATTTCTGGAACTGCAACCATTGTTGTGGCATAAAATATATAGTGGTGGGAATGAAACCAAATATATTGATATCTTGATTTAATTTTTTTTATTATTATTAAGAGGATTTTTAGCCAGTTTCATATTAATTTGGATTAAATTTCTTTAAATGATTTTAAAGATACATCTTTTTTTAGATGCTATCTCTAAAATTCAAGTCAAGAAATCGAAAAAGATAGCAAACATTTTTTATTATTAAATTTATCCATATTAGGATTTTTCATGATGTTTTATTACAATTAATGATCCACACTTATATATTACATATATATTAACTTCAACTAAACACTTTGAAATCTAACCATTCGCAGAGCAACTTGTTTCCTTTTCCTTTCCTTTTTTTTTTTAACTGAAAAGTCGCTTTCCATTCAAATTCATCCATATTTAGACTAATGCATATGTGTGTGTCTATATATATATATATATATATATATTAAATTTTTTCTTTAAATATCTTAAATGATAAGATGAGAAAGACATTTGTATGGTAATACTTTATAAGCGTGCGATAAACATTGTTATTTATTTAATAATATAGTTGTGGTTTAATTTTGAAGTATTTTTATTTAAAAATATATTAAAATATTTTTTTTAAAAAAATATTTTTAATATTATCATATTAAAATAATTTAAAAAAATTAATTTAAAACAAAAAAATTAATTTTTTTTAAAAATATTTTTAACGCAAAAACAAACAGAATTAACTATATATATTGAATTTTTTTTCTTTTCATTATTTACATGACAAAAGTAAAATTTAAACTCAAGACCTCTCCCTTCTTTTAGGACTATTTTATATATGTTTTGGCTCTCTTTAGGACTAGCACCAGAGGATTTTAAAGAATAACCAGCATGCCCAAATGTTATTTCTTATATGTATCAAAAAAGGTATTTTCCCAGTAAAAGAAAGAAAGAAAAAGATAACGCAAGTAAAGTGTGTCCCGAGAATCATAACAAAATTTAAAATATTTCATTTTCATTTGAAAAAAAATCTCTCAAAAACACAACCATGATGAAGAAAATGTTACATATATTTATTTATTTATTTATTATTCGTGGATATATAGTGATGATGAGTGTAAATTCTTGCACATATTAGGCTCTCTAATATGTATTCTAATAAGTTTTGCTCTTTTAAAAGATATTTATTAAGAAAAGAGTTTTTTTTGTTCTTTTACTTATAAGTGACTAAAATTATCATCTTCAAAAAATATTATTTTACTAGAATCAGATGATGATTTTTGTCATTTCAAAATGTATCATCCTGGGGGGATGTGTATTTTATAGTTATAAGTGCCTAAGATTCTTGTCTATTGGTCAATATGGGATAGTGATATTACCATAGATCCCAAAGAAGAAAATATGGTAGCTGCACATGACTGACATTCTTACATACGACTCCAATAATGATATGTGTTTGCATCCCAACATGGTAGATCTCTCAATAGAAATTATCCCATATAATGAGTTTTATTCTTTTAAAAAGTTTTTTTTTTAGAGAAAGGTATTTTTTGTGCTTATAAACAATTAAAATTCTTGTTTTCTAATTAATATGGAATAATGATATCATAACATAGGACGGAGCTTATTGTCATGACCCTTCCTAAATTTTTAAATTGAAATTTCATTCTTATATTTAAAGATATTTCATTTAGGTCCCTAATAAAATTTTGTTTATTACACTTGTGACCCCAATTCTTTCACTTCACTTTTATTTTTGCCCTTTTATTTTTCTCACTTAGACTCACTAGTGTAGGG